GACCATTACAGTAATTATTGACCATTATTTTTTTATCAGAAATTATTGACATTACTTTTGGTCAATAACTAAAAGGTGTTTTGACCAATTGTTTGGTCAAAAATATTCCGACCACTATTTTTTATCATAAATTTCTAACCATTATTTTCGGTCAGAAATKATTGACTATTAGTTTTGGTCAAAAAGTAAAAAATKTTTCGACCAATTGTTTGGTCAAAAATATTCTAACCATTACTTTTGATCAAAAATTATTGATCATTATTTTTGRTCACAAGTTAGTAGACATTTCGACCAAATGTTTGGTCAAAATGGTTTTGACCATTACTTCTGGTCATAAATTTGTTGACCATTTTTTTGGTCAGAAAATTTTGACCAAATTTAGACCAACTGTAATGATCAGAATTTGTTGACCATTTTTTGACGCAGTAGTGATTTTCGACCAACGATTCGTGACGAACATGATTTGGTCAAAAATTCATCAAAAACACCTGTTTTTTACCAATTATTGATCAATTTCGTGGTTGAAAATGAGATGTTTTCTTGTAGTGCATTATTTTAATGAAACTTCTACACAAAGTCAAGACGAAAATTTCTTTCATAGAGTCAAAGTAACCGAGAAAGTTGAAGAACATTTCACATCTACAGACTAACGTAAGAAACTTTTGTAAAGAAAATGGTGAAAAGAAAAGCCTAACAAACAAAGATTAGAGGAAGATTTTTACCCAATCCCATAATCGCAGATAGTTGATTGCAAAATCTTATTATTCACAGTAAATTCAAGAAGAATGCGCATGTTTTCACAACCAAATGCCAGTTTGCTCAAAGTTCGTTCAATCTAGAAAACAAGTTCTTCAAGAAATTGGAACATGTTGGGTTTTTCGCAATATAATGTGTGGATATGATCTTTGCATTCCAAGCACCAATATACAGTTTTTTAGTAGAAGTTGATTTTTGCATTCCAAGCACCAATATACAGTTCTTTAGTAGAAGTTACTTGCAAGAGATTAGAAATCAGAGCAGCAAGAGATCACTCTTCATATTGATAAGTGTTTTAGTTTTTTTCTAGTGGATATGTTAGCTGGAAACTTTATCAAACTCTTCCACCATCCACATGCTAAACACATTCTTCAAAAATGCATCCAATTTGGTAGCGAAAGTAATGTGGTTTCATAATATATGAGCCTCAGGAAAAAATTCACAAGCTAATTACACATATGTATGGCAATTTTACTATCCAGAAAATATTAAAGAGACTCAAAGTGATGGATTTTCAACAGTTTAACAGTCTTACCTTTGAGATTTTGAGGAGAAAAGGTGAGTTCGAGAGAAGTCCTTATGGAAAAAAGGTTGTCAAAACTTGCTACTACTGCCATAAGAGAAGGTAATGGAGGTTACTATTGTCAAGTTGGAAACGAAGAAATGTAATGAACTTACTACTACTGACATAAGGTAATGAACTTAGAGAATGGAAAGATCATCGTCTTGTGGTTCGTAAGTGGGATGAAATGTCTAAAAGAAACAAAACAAAACCCGGAGATACAATCATATGTTAGATCCTACATGAAAGAGGAGTTGTTCACTCCATCAAAGTTCATTTCACTAACAAATGATTATCATTTGTAGTTCAGAATGAAATCTTTGTCTCTCTCCTTGTTTAGCTTTGACACTTTCATTTGCTTCTTTGTTTCCTTTGTCCTCACTCCAATGAGACGTGTCCAAAGCTTTGAAAATCAGGGCAAAAACCCATTTCACCAAAATAATGTAACAAGATAAGAGCAATACATTGGTAGTCTTAATGCAGAACATTGAGCCTTCACACATAAAAAAAAAAGGAAAGTCTAGTTAGGGAACATTTTTTCTACGTGTGGTGCGTTTGCTACTGACCGACAAGGTGTCCTAGTTGGTACCATCGTATCTTTTACTTAGTTACCAAGGCAAAATGACTTGCTTGTGGTGTTAGAGGACACAAGTAAATTTGTATCTTTAGCATCAATGATTTTATTTGCATAGCTGTTTTTTGAAAAGTAGTCATCTCGTTATGTGTAAGAGGAATTCACATAACGTATTTTCAAAGAAAAAATACGAAAACTAGACGAAAATTATTTTGATCGATTCCAAAATTTCTACTTCCTGGTGGGATTTGTAAACATTGGCACGTTTCAAATATTCCACTGCCCAAAAAGGGATAGAGATCAAAATTCCGAGCTCTGATCCGTCGTGGAAGAATGTGAAGCAGAGTTTCACAACCTCGCTTGTGACCAATACGCCTCTGGTTTTTTGGTTGACCTCGCTCGTGAACTTCATAGTAGGAGTCAATGGTGTATGGATTCACAACAAACTACGGATTCTACTCAAGAGAACCTATTCTTAGCCATGGTTAGGGATTCACAACAATCTATTGATTCTACTCAAGAGAACCTATTCTCGGCCATGGTTAGGGATTCACAACAATTCAAGGCAACGGTTTCTTCGAATCAGATTGGGTACACGAAAACTCTTTAATCTCTCTGTTTCTCTTAGGATTTCTAGTTTCTTTCTCTTCGGTTTTTTTGTCTTTTTACCATACATATTAGATTTTGGTTTAACCATCACCATTTGTGTTTGTTTTTCATCAATTGTATAATTGATTAAAATTTGAAGAACTTTTTATAAATTAAAAATACAATTGATTAAAATTTGAATGATCTTTTTATAAATAAAAAAATTCAAAACCAAAATGGTGTAAACTTATTTTCTACACAAAATATGGTGTATAAAATGAGTTTACACCAGTTTGATATTGAAAATTGTGTTGGATTGGAAGGATTTTACATCAAAATGAGATTTGGTGTAGGATTTGGTGTTGGGTTGGAGATGCTAAATCCTTCAAAATCGATGAATCAGCTTGTACGAAAGCTCTCTCACTCAACCATCAATTAAAATTGGTCTGATGGATCTGTTGTCGTTTTACCTTATGAAGCCGGATCTTAGCTCTCGTTTCATCTTGATACAAGTGCAATCAAGAATCCAAACACTTCCCACGGATTGACACGGTGGTCATCAACAATAAGTTAAGGTTAGTTAGGGTTTGGTCTCAATTTCTCATTTTTCGCATCTCTTCTTCAACATGTCTGATTTTTTCAGATTCAGGGGTGAAATTGCGCGGATTGTGCTCGATCCAGTTTGTGCTTCTTTGATTTCCAATCTCCTGCAACAAGCTTCTACTGAAGAACTCGAGATTGTGTGCTTGGAATGTAAAGATGAGATTCACACCATTGCGCCAAACCTGACAGGTTCGAAGTTCTTGATAAAGTTGTTTGCTAGGTTGAAAGAACTATATCTTGGTTGTGAGAACATGAAGATTCTTCTTGTATTGACTGTGAAAGATAAGAAACTGCAATCAACTATCTGTCATCAGATTGGGTAAGTATCCTACTCCGAAATCTTGGTTCGTTTGGGTCTTCTTTTTAACTTTTTCCTCATAAAAGTTTCTTCATTTTTATATGTAGAAGTGAAACGTTCTTCGATCTTCTATGCTACATTGAATTTATGAATGAAGAATTTGTGTGGATTTTGGCTAGAAGTTTGACTGAGATAATGATTAAACATGGTGTTGTTGATTTTCTCTTCACTAACCTGTTTGAACGACTTACTCTACTCGATCTTCGGGTATATAGTTATTTATGGTGATGGATATTTGTTTTTACATATTGATGTAATTGTAGTGTTAACATGGTGATGTAATTTGTTTTTTTGAATGAATGTAAAATTTGTATTCAATCAATTCGTTTTTACATCTAGTGTGACTTGATTTTGAGGTTTCAAAGATGCCACAGAGTTACAAAAATGAAAAAAAAAATTTCTAGGCTAGCGTGATCCCAGCCATAAAACCATGGCTTCAGCGTACTCGTGAGCTCCCATGCTTCGAATAGAGTTGATACGGTTCGTAATGTTCTTGACAATTTTA